TTTTTTTTTTTTTTTTTTGTGCACTTGGTAAAAACTTACATTATTCTCTTTAATCTTGCGAGCATGCGTCTTCTCCTGAACATCAACAATTTGATTTTTGGTGTGATGGACCTTCTATTTTTTATTTTTTTAATCCTTCTTTAGTTCTTTTGTTACTGCATCTGCATTGGAGGGTAGAGCTCTTAAATGAATAGCACTTTATGAACACCACAGGGCTTAGCAACTTCGAGATTAACTCGTTGTTTGGCATCTCGGCTCGACTTGTTTTATAAAAAAAGCTTAATAAGTTGTTTGAGCTTGACACGTTCGTTGACTTAAATGAGCCGAGATCGAACGATTAATTAAGGTCACTTGTTAACCAAGTAGAGTCGAACTTGCTCGCTAATAACTTATTTTTATCTATTATCCTTTAATTTTATGAGTTTTAAATTGGCTGAGCCGAGTCAGATCGTGTATTAAAAGAGCACGAACTATGCAACTCGATTCATAATAAGTTGATTGGCTACAAAAATAAACTATATATAGAACGGTAAAAACATACTGAAAATATGAAATAATTTAAGATCTTATTTTAAATAATTATATATGTTTAATCTCAATCACTTAGTAATACTAGTGTTATGCACACCATCTGTGAATTTTAACTAACTCATAATAGTGCTAACATGGAGCATCATTGGCGCTTCGAACCAATTTATTGAAGATAAAATCGAATTCCACGTCTTTCATTAGATAGGCCCTTCACACTCACCAGAACCACATCGACACTTGTTCCTCATGGCCAAGACCACATTTTCATGTCGACCATATCGAGTTTATTTCGCTCCGACCTTATCGCCGACATAGCTTCTTTCATGATGATGTCACCATCTTTTGTGAAAGGAGTTGTTGCCCACGAACCCCATATGTGTATTTCCTAAAAAAGACGCGCTATCACTGTGCATGTTGCATAAAACTGACCCCTCATACATGTCACGTGTTCAGAGACTCGTTAAAAAGTCAATGTGAGTTTTTTTACTTTTTTACCTAGTATAAATTGTAATAATCTCAGTAAGAGTCATTATGATTTTCACATTTTTACCTAGTATAAATTGTAATAACCTCCATAAGGTTAGATCATCGAATAAATTACCGAAAAATACCAAATATCATATAAGAAAAAATTGAAAGTTTATAAAATCAAACCTTAACATCATTATTTTTCTATCTTGTTGGCATTATTAACATTCCGTGTTTATTACGATCTCTTGTTGATTCCACAAGTCAACAATTCACAATAATTAGACCAAGTAAATTAGACAACAATCCCTTCTTCACCCTATAGGAATATATGATCTTTAATATAAAAAAATTATTACATGTACAAGGACAAAATAAATACAAAATGAAGCAAACAACACGATTAGTAACTAATTTCCTAATATCTATAGACTATTTCAAACTTATAGTTCCTTTTTCTTTTTCCTTCTTCTACCGTCAAACAAGCCCTTAAACCGAATAAAAAGAAGGGTTGTGAGGGTGGTTCCATTCTTCTCGTATTTACTCCTCTTTTTCAATTTTTTTTATAATATTTTTTTTTTCTTAATTTTCTTAGAAGCTAAAAGATTAACTAACAAGCCGCCGACGAATTTGTGAAGGGGTTGTAGAGGTGCGGCTTAGGAGCCATAACAAAGGCGGTTGTCTTAGCCGCGTGTTCCGAGCCGCCGCTGCTGCCGCCGCCGATCCTTTCACATGAAGGGCACATAGTGAGCGTGGCAGCCGGAAGCTGCATGTAGAGCGGCTGAGCCAATTTCATAGCCTTCAGCTCTTGAAGCTCCTTCTGCAGCCGCCGGTTCTCATCCGTCAGCGTCTCACAGCATTTCTTCAGAAACTCGCAGTCCACCTCTGTTTGCTTCAGCTTTGTTCTATATTAAATTAATACCCAAAGAAATAAAAATATATATTTTTCAGGATTAAAATAATAATAATAATAATAATAATAATAATAATAATAATCAATGAAATTAACAACTTCGAAAATAATTTTCAGTGAATATGCGTCCACATAAATAAATTAAATTAAAGCAAGTTTGGGATTGGCTAGTTGCTAAAGGTTAAAAACACCTGGCCCCTCAAAATATATGGCAAAGATCTTTATGGGAAAAGGCAATATTAAAGTCCTGGCTTTCTTATTCTGAATAATGGATTAGTTTAATTTCCTTTTCTCTTTGTGAGAAGGATAAATTAAAGGGAAATGCAACGGTATAGCAGCGAGAAGCCGAGAATAGTCTGTCGAGATTTGTAACTGTTAGATCATCATGTAAATGTCGTGGATCAAATAGTTACAACTCTGACGGAATGGTTCCGTAATAGAACCGTAGCAGTTCCCTTAATTAAAATGCAAAAAAAAAAAAAAAAAATTCTAACCAAAATCTACTATGAAAATATATTATTATTATTATTATTATTATTATTATTAATTATTCGAGTCAAGAATAAAAATTAAAAATACCTGGCTCTCCGGTTCTGAAACCAAACTTCCACCTGCCGTGGCCTAAGCTTCAACTCCTTAGCCAAATCCTGCTTTTGTTTCTGTTCGAAATGAAAAATAAGAAATAGCAAATCAGCCAAATGATAAATAAATAAATATTGCAAGTTACGTGTTTGTGAAAAGTCCCGAGTGAAACACATACAGGATTGAGAGTACTGTGCAGCTTGAAGCTTTCCTCCAAAAGAGCCGATTGAGCCTTACTGAGCCTGAGCTTTTTCCGGCCATTAGATCCATCATCGTCGTCGTCGCTAGCCCTGGACGAGATCGCCCTCTCCCTCTCCACCTCCTCGCTTCCCGGCTCCCTCTCTCTCTTCACGCTGCTCACGTTAGAGAACGACGACGCCGCGCTGTCCTGCCCGTACAGCTGATCCTCGCCGGAAAAGGCGGCGATCTTGCCGTGATTCTGATCGGAAACGGAGGGCTTTTTGGGCAGATCGCCGGATAAGCTGAGAGTGAGCGACGGCTCGTATTCGAGCTTCTGGCCTGCTGGCTTCTTGGACTTGTATTCTCCGGTAGAGAATCCAAGTCCTAGAACCAGACCGGTATTGCATATATCATCAAAACCCATTTATGTTTTTTTTTTTTCTGTTTTTTGTTGGGAGTTAATGATACTTTAGGTGTGGAGAAATATGAAGAGAAGAGGGTGACTATATATTGAGAGAAAAATGTTTATTTTATTCTTTTTCTTTTGTGTGTGTGTGTGTGTGTGTGTGTGTGGGTGTATTTGGGGGAAAATGAGAATGAAGAGAGGGGGGCAAAGGGGGTGTCTTTTTGTAGTGGTGGGATTGGTGGGTGGTTAGTATTCTATGATTAATAAATCAACAGAATGAATTAAGTATGAAAAGGAATTTTTGGGTAAGGAAGTGATGAAAAAGTCACACACTCACTCACTTTCTCTCTCTCACACACTAAAAGATAGCCAGGTTGACCATCTTGAAACACCACTTATTGTTATGTCACCCAATAATGATGACCACCAAGGTGGAAACTGAAAAGGAAAATCTTCATTTTTAGTCTTTTTTTTTTAATTAATGGTGGTGAGTTTTCTATTGTACTGTTGTATAAATCAAATGATACTTGATAGTGTTTGGAAATAATACAAAAGTCATGATACAAGTAATCATTATTGGTAGTCCATGAAATATAAAATCAAAATAAAATAAAACCCACAATAAGTTGGAATCGCTACCTCTTTAACTCGGTCTATTTTGTCGAGTTTTAACTATGTTATTTGAAGGTCCTAACTCGACCTATTTATGCTCCTTTGGGCTTGCCACATCTTCATCGACTTGAGGACTCTTTCTGCCGCTCCGATCGACCTCCGTTTGGCATGTTGTAGTTTCGCTCGACCAAGCAGTCTGTCCGGTCCGGTTGGTTGGTTTATTGATTCTATCCGACCAGGTATGGTATCCCAAATCACAATCAGAGATTGTACCCGCAATATTATTTGACGGAAATAAAATAAAATTGTACAAAAATTTATGTTATTCATAAAATTCATTGTTACAAATTTGACATACCTCGTGGCAGTGGCGTAGGTATGTTCAATTGCTCTTGGGCTTTAGCCCGGTAAATTTTTTTGGAACCATATATATATAGACTTAAAATAATTTTAATTATGTATATGTAACAAAAATTGAAATTGAACAATGTCTATAATGTTAGTCTAACTAATTCAAATATATGGCATAATAACATCAAAATTATAGAACTATTTTAAATTTAAATAACCATCTCATAGACATCAATTTTGAGTGAATTTATCTTGATAAAATTAAATAGTTCTTTGAAATTTGAGAAATGATTGTTCAACAAGTTAAATTAATTTGTTCCTAATAATAATTGTTCTTAAAAAATAATATCTTTTATCATATTTTTTTATTTAATATCTGCTACCCCCTCTATTTTTATTTGTCAATTTGGATTTATTGACTATTAATCAAATAAATGACGTTTTGAATCTTTTATACATATAGTTTTATTGTTATCTTCATTTAATTAATAAACTACACGTTTTAAGAGGAAAGTTGTGGAAAATAATGAGTTTTCTCCTTTACAAAAATATAAAAAAACTGAAAAGAAAGAAATTAACTAGTATTAATATTCTTTAAATAAGGTGAATATTGACAATTTTTTTTATATAATTTATGTGTTAAAGCACAAAACGATATCTAGAAAAAATAATGCAGGGGGTGTAATTGTAGCCCGGGTGAGTTATAATTTTATGGCTCCGCCCTTGTCCAGTGGGACATTATCGACTTCTCATCTCTTCTCTTCAAATCAAGTTCGAAAGATTTTGAAGATGCATGACGTTCTCTTTAAACAAAATACACATAGAGCAACAGAAGATAATGTCTCCTTAATTAAGCCACAAATCATCCGCAGATCGTCCACTATATCAAATTCATCCAACTTGGGTCAAACAAAAACGGCTCAACTTGTCATTCTAAAAGTGTTAGAATATCATTTGTGAGTTGTCCCACATTGTTCATACATGGAAAATAGACCCACCTTATAAGTCTAATGGGCTACTCCTCCTTCCACCAATTGGTTTTGGGATGGAATCTCACTAAGGCTTCTTATGGACTTTCCCTGCTTTTGGCGCGCTTCATGTTAGTGGGACCGCACCCGTTTTTTCCTCAGTTTCTTACATGGTATCAGAACTGATTCTATTGGGACCGTGCAATGACGTACCCGTTTATGAGAGTCTGTTTCCCCATGTACCCGTTTATGGGAGTCTGCTTCTAGTAGGCTTGGGGCACCCAACCCAATTGGGCTTGGGCTTCCGAAAGATTCACAAGTGAGGTGGCGTGTTAGAAAATCACTTGTGAGTTGTCCAACATCGTTCATACATAGAAAATAGACTCACCTTATAAGTCTAAAGGGTACTCCTTCTTCCATCAATTGGTTTTGGGATGGAACTCTATTTGGGCTTCATATGGGCTTTCCTTTCTATGGTGCGCTTCATGTTAGTGGGACCACACTCGTTATCCACGAGTTTCTTACATGGTATCAGAGCCGGTTCTATTGGGACCGTGTGATGACGTACCCGTTTATGGGTGTCTGCTTCCTCACGTACCCGTTTATGGGAGTCTACTTCTAGTAGGCTTGGGGCACCCAACCCAGTTGGGCTTGGGCTTCCGAAGGACTCACAAGTGAGGGGGCGTGTTAGAATATCACTTGTGAGTTGTCCCACATTGTTTATACATGGAAAATAGACCGCACCCGTTTTTTCCTCAATTTCTTACATGGTATCAGAGCTGGTTCTATTGGGACCGTGCGATGACGTACCCGTTTATGGGAGTCTGCTTCCTCACGTACCCGTTTATGTAAGTCTGCTTCTAGTAGGCTTGGGGCACCCAACCCAATTGGTCTTGGGCTACCGAAGGACTCACAAGTGAGGGGCGTGTTAGAATATCACTTGTGAGTTGTCCCACATTGTTCATACATGGAAAATAGACCCACCTTATAAGTTTAATGGACTACTCCTCCTTCCACCAATTGGTTTTGGGTTGGAACCTCAGTAAGGCTTCATATGGAATTTCCCTGCTTTTGGTGCGCTTGATGTTAGTGGGACCGCACCCATTTTTTCCTCAGTTTCTTACAAAAAGAAAATTCCATGGGGTGAAATAAGTGAAGCATTTCTATAAAGGAGAATGTTCACCTACCCACGGTGGGTACATGTTAATATGCCCACCGCTTATGTGGCATGCACACATTGGTGATGTTAATATTTTCAAAAAAATACATCACCAAGTGTGCATGCCACATACGCGGTGGGCACATTAACATGTGCCCACCGTGGGTAGGGGAAGCATTACTTCTTCTATAAAAACAAATCTTAATGTTCTTTGATAAGAGTCTCAACTATCAATAAAGCTTCTCGATATAGGCAAAAACTATTCAAACCTCAAATTAACATGATCCTTGATATGAACCTAAATTATCTATAAAGCACCTCGATATGAGCAACTATCCAAAAAATTAGAGGGTTCCATATAGAGATCGAACTTGCATTATCATTTGATCAAAAAAAAATTAAATTGTACAAACATTTTGTGTTTTTGACAAAATTTATAGTTACAAAATTGTGACGATAACTTTGATTTATGAAAATAAATTTTAGAAAAAACATAAAATTTAGGTACAACTTGATCTTATTTTGATCAAACGATATTGAGAATACAATATCGATATGGAACCCTCTCATTTTTCTCATTGTGGACTTAGATCCATCTTGAAATTTGGATTTGAGACTTGGATCTAAATTCTTCTAATATTAATTTGGGGATCGAATGACTTATTTTCATATTAAATGTTAGGACTTGATTTGATCGAAGATGACTTCTTGACGGTCTTTGTGCTTTTTTCATTCTTGAAGACATATTTTAACTTGAATAACGTTGATTTGAGGGCTTGGAAGCTTTTTCTTGTATCAAATGTTATGTTGCTTGAGCTCCACGACGAACACGGGTTGAATGTTGTTGAACTTCTTGGCTTTAACTTGAGAGAAGTTGATGGCATCTCTATTTCTTGTAGAAGAACGATAGTCTATTTTTCTTCTTCTTAACATGTTTATCCATTGAACCCTGAAGGTGCTTCGGAGACTTTAGTTTGGACTGAACGTCCATTTTCATCTTGAAAGCCCTGGGATATTCAAAAACACCTTTAGATCTTCAAGAACGTCTTTGGATCTTCATGAAATTCTTGAGAGCTCTGTTATTTGAGCCTTAATTTATGATGTGTGATTTTTGGCTTTGGAAATAACCTTATTTGAATATACATGAGATAGATTCTTGGAGAAGAAAACATCAATTTTGTCCTTTATTATTTGATGTTATCTATTTCCTCATCGTAAGATTTTTTTTTTTTTTTATCTTAATATTTAACTTGGTGGACAAGTAATATTACTTTACAATTAAATATCTTAAACATCATGAATTTATGTACAAAAATTATACAATAACAAATTAATAAAATATTGATTTTTTTTTTTTATCGTTAAATAATTTTGTATTGATCAAAATTGAAAGTCATACAACCGAGTCGGCTTTCAAAAGCGTAGTGGGTAACCACAAGTCGGTTCCTCATAAAACATTGAATTTTTGATATCTACCGTTGTTTTATTTATAATTTTATTCAGTGATAATGTATAGCTTTCAAAATATGTTTGGACCTAAGTATAATTCTAGTTCTGTCAGTGAGTAATTTAAAAAAAAAAAAAAAAAAATACATAGAAGTGGCATCCATTAATTATTATTATGATTATATTTTGATTTATTGAAAAGTGAGTCCGTAACATTTACACATGCCTAATAACAGTTGTAATTAAAACTAAAGTCCATTACAAAATGGCCGAAGTCAAGAATGTAAGTAGAAATTAAAGAAGGAATTATGGGTAAAATTCACATGGGAATGTATTGGGGGCACACATCAAGAGAATGATTCTTGTGCTGTTTGGCCACCCATTAGCACGCCAAATTATACTGTTCTGTAAGAAACGGGTAAAAGGGTGCGATCTCACGAACGTGAATCGCACCATACAAAGATGAGTCTAGATGAGCAATA